GAATGGAACTTTCTACAAACAAACTGAGGGCACCCCAATGGGCTCCCCCCTATCTCCGGTTGTAGCCAACGTATTCATGGAAAAAATTGAAACTGACGCCATCCAGACTGCCACTCTACGCCCGACCTTATGGAAGAGGTACGTGGATGACACCTTTGTCATCTGGCCACATGGCCAGCCTGCTCTAGACCAATTCCGTGACCACATCAATTCCATACACCCAGCCATCAGATTTACCATGGAGGTCGAAAAAGATGGCAAAATACCCTTTTTGGATGTCTTAATTAAAAGGAGACATGATGGTTCAATGAGCCACTCTGTCTACAGGAAAGCCACCCATACAGATGCTTACTTGAAACCGGATTCCCACCACCATCCACTCACAGAAGAATTCTCCTCATCAAGACTCTGTATCATAGAGCCCAATGCATATCCGACCAGGAACACATAAGCAGTGAACTCAAGCACGTACACCAAGCTCTTAGGGCTAATGGTTACTCCGACTATACAATCCGCAAAGCCTATCACTCAAGTCATGAAGAAGAATCCTCTTGTAGGAGCCCTTCAAAACCATCACCTTACCCTACATTGCATGGGATCACTAAAAAGATCTCCAAAATCCTTGAATAAACACAAGATCCAGGTCCGTTTCAACACATTACACAAAATCCGTGATCTGGTTCCGTCTGTAAAAGATGTGATTCCGGACATACAATACCCTGGTGTCTACAAACTAAGTTGCCTCTGTGGTAGTAGTTACATTGGAGAAACCAAACGCCATATCTCGGACCGCATTCGTGAACATAAAGCAGACCTTAAACACGGTAGGACCAACACCTCGGCCGTAGCAGATCATTGTTCTAATTCAGTAGGCTCACATGCCATTGACTTCTCCAAGACGGAGGTTCTTTGTAAGCCATCTGGCTTCCATGAGAGATTCGTTCATGAGGCTATCCACATATACAAACACAGAGACAATTTCAACCGAGAAGATGGATTCTATCTTAGCAATCATTGGAAAGATTTGATAAATCATTTCAGTTCTTGATTGATTGTTCACGCTTACAGTGGCTTTCAGACAGCATACATAAAAACAAATTTCGTCTCCCCCCTCCTCTTTTCAAAAAATAGATGGACTAGTCCTGGCAAACAGCCAATCGTTGCGCGTGACGCAAACGTTATTTTTATATAAATAAATAAATATGCCGTTTTCAAAATAAATTTATGCAAACCGACACACCTGATGATGACCGTTTGAGTTATGGTCGAAACGTCGTGAGAATTTTTTTATTGTTTTATATATATTTTGTTATTTTGTTGTTTCTCTTCAACGTGACTTTACCGAAAAAACTAAGAATATAATAGGGATGATATTGTCGTCCTCTCCGCCGACAAGGGCAATGCCACTGTCATCATGGACAAAACAGAATATAACAACAAAATTCAAGAACTACTCAACGATGGCAGCTATACAAAAATAAAAATAGATCCCACCAACAGCCTGGTTACCAAAACGAACAAAATCATCTCTGATTCAACAGAATTAATTGATGAGACCAAACAGTTCTCGTTGAAACCCTCTGCTGCCAGACCACCAAGATTATATGGCCTTCCAAAGATACACAAAGAAGATACACCCCTTCGTCCCATCGTCTCTACTATCAACTCCCCCACCTATAAACTGGCACGTTTTCTTGCTGATATACTGTGACCTTTCACTGGAAAAACCACCTCTGCGGTACTAAATTCTACTCACCTGGTATCGACAATCAAAGGCATTTCCCTGTCCCCAGACGACCTGCTTGTCAGTTTTGATGTGGTGTCCTTGTTCACCAAAGTCCCGGTACCTGACACCATCGCTATCATTGAAGACCTGGTTCATCAAGGACTGCACACTGATGTACCCCCCCTGGTGAGACATTGCTTAACCAACACATACTTCACCTGGAATGGAACTTTCTACAAACAAACTGAGGGCACCCCAATGGGCTCCCCCCTATCTCCGGTTGTAGCCAACGTATTCATGGAAAAATTGAAACTGACGCCATCCAGACTGCCACTCTACGCCCGACCTTATGGAAGAGGTACGTGGATGACACCTTTGTCATCTGGCCACATGGCCAGCCTGCTCTAGACCAATTCCGTGACCACATCAATTCCATACACCCAGCCATCAGATTTACCATGGAGGTCGAAAAAGATGGCAAAATACCCTTTTTGGATGTCTTAATTAAAAGGAGACATGATGGTTCAATGAGCCACTCTGTTTACAGGAAAGCCACCCATACAGATGCTTACTTGAAACCGGATTCCCACCACCATCCATTCCAGAAGAACTCCCTCATCAAGACTCTATACCATAGAGCCCAATGCATTTCCGACCAGGAACACATTACCAGTGAACTCAAGCACGTACACCAGGCTCTCAGGGCTAATGGTTACTCCGACTACACAATCCGCAAAGCCATCACTCCAGTCATGAAGAAGGATTCTCTTGTGGAGCCACTCAAAACCATCACCTTACCCTACATTGCAGGGGTCACTAAAAAGATCTCCAAAATCCTGAATAAACACAAGATCCAGGTCCGATTCAACACAATACATAAAATCCGTGATCTAGTTCCATCTGTAAAAGATGCTGGTCCAGACATACAGTACCCGGGCGTTTACAAACTAAAGTGCCTCTGTGGTAGTAGCTACATTGGAGAAACCAAACGACATATCTCGGACCGCATCCGTGAACATAAAGCAGACTTGAAACACGGTAGGACGAACTCCTCTGCCATGGCAGATCACTGTTATAATTCAGTGAGCTCACATGACATTGACTTCTCCAAGACGGAGGTTCTTTGCATACCAACCGGCTACCATGAGAGATTCGTTCATGAGGCCATTCACATATACAAGCACAGAGACAATTTCAACCGAGAAGATGGATTCTGGCTTAGTAACCATTGGAAAGATGTTTCAAACCATTTCTGTTCTTAATTAATTGTATTTTACGATGACCTTCAGACCGCAGCTCTTTCACCAGCATTGACTCTTAATACCTCTCACACCACGGTTAATGGTATGGTTTACAACATGGAGTATAATAGCGCCTCGCAGCTGTCTCTCTCCCCCTCCTCTGTTCCGACCTTGGATGAACTCGTCCGTCTGAACGGGGCCCGTAGCTATCCGTGTTGCTAAAGTTGAGGGTAAGAATCCACCCATTTTTTCGCCATATAGCATTGTGATATATAACGACTTATTGTTGGTAGCTTAGCTGATTGGAGAATATAGAGTTTATTGATAACATTAAGGTAATTTATATTTTAGTTTTTTATTGGTTCACTATGTAGTATTCATTATACATTGTATTGTATACCCAGTTACTGTGAATAGCTCAGATGTGTAGATCTTGACTTCAACATAGCCATTTCTGTGACCAGTCACTAGCTAATCACTCAGTTAGTTCAATGCTAAATTCGCCTAGTTATTTCAATGCTAAATTCTCCTGTTTGATATTTACTAGGTGCCTCGGTGAATGTGTATGCTCTGACTTTAAACATAGCTATTTCTGTGACCAGTTACAAGCTAATCACTCAGCTATTTCAATGCTAAATTCTATGCTAATTCCTTTGTCAAGGGGTGCCCCTGCGGATGTGTATGCTTTAACTTAGCTATTTCAATGCTAAATTCTATGCTAATTCCTTTGTCAAGGGGTGCCTCTGCGGATGTGTATGCTTTAACTTGAACATAGCCATTTCTGTGACCAGTCACAAGCTAATCACTCGGCCATTTCAATGCTAAATTATATGCTAATTCCTTTGTCAAGGCGCTTTGTTTCTTCTGACACAGCTTAAAGGTCGTGATCTGAACGTGGCTTTTAATCACTCCAGCGCTGTCCTACCAGACAGTCTCGTCCCTTCACCTGATGAAGGCCGCTTGTGTTGTGGCCGAAACGTCGTGAGAATATTATTGTGTTATTTTATTTTACCAATTTATTATTTTATTCTCATTCTACGTGACTTTACCGAAAGAACCAAAGAAGATGAATCCTTGCAGTCACGAAAGCTTTAAATCGAAATTTAACCGCCTCTACGGGGAGGGATTTCACACATCCTTAAGATCATTCAACAGACTCCGGGATAAGAAGGCTCAACTAATCGAGTCTCTCACCTTTCTGAAGAGATGCCGCAACTCTAAGGTAATACCAACCTCTGCTGTTGCAACTTCTCTAAATGCAAAACGAATTCTAGCTAGAACTTGCTTCGCTCTTATCTCGGAAAAATCAGACTTACACGCACCGAACTCGATCAGTTAGACAAGACACTCTACAAATCACACTTAACATTGACAGCAACAATGTCTACATCGGATTGGGAACATGTAGACAATATGACTACCTCTTCGGCTGCCACTATGTCGACCAAATGTAGGGACAATTTGATTTCCAAATTCAATCACCTCTCCAGCTAAAAATCGGATCCACACACCGAAAAGATAGACGTCAACAAAGTCGTAATTAATCGCAGTAACAGTTCCATTTCTGATGGTCTGAAATCCGTTTTAGCTAAAGGTCTAAACTTTGCTGTCACACCGAGACACTTACCGGTTAATGATATCATTGCCCATGTCGACATTGCACTCAAGGGCTTGAGTCCCATCGCTGCAGACGTAGCAAGATCTGAAATCGCTGCAACCTTCAAAAACGCTAAGTTGCCACCCAGCAACATCAGCAAAGACGAACGTTTTGAATTATCTCAATTAAAAAAGAGGGATGATATTGTCGTCCTCTCAGCCGACAAGGGCAATGCCACTGTCATCATGGACAAAACAGAATATAACAACAAAATTCAAGAAAAAATTCAAGAACTGACTTTACCGAAAGAACCAAAGAAGACAAAGCGGACTTTCAAACTCCAATCCAACCTCTCCCCACCGCCCCACTCTTCCACAACCCCCCCCCCCCGCTCACCCCAACCCACAACCAACCCCACCGACACCCTCCCGCTCACCCGCAGCGGGGTCCCGCGTGCCGAAGCGCAGCACGTAGCGCAGCGCGTGGTGGTTGTTCCACACGTAGAGGGCGCGGTCGCGCGCGTTGTACTGCACCGACGTGATGAACCGGAACGGGTTGGGGAACGGGACGGAGACGCGAGCGTCCCGCCGCGAGTCGGTGTCGTACACGTAGTCGATGCGGTCGCTCGTCCCCCCTCCTCCCCCTCCTCCTCCTCCTCCTCCTCCTCCCGCGGCGTCCGCCCCTCCGTCGCCGTCGTCCTCGTAAGTCGAGCGCAGGACGTGGAGGACGCCACACGCCATGAAGGCGTCGGAGGCCGAGCGCTTGACGTAGGCCGTCTCGAAGGAGGCCTCGACGCGCATCGCGCGCGGATTTAAGCGGCTCACCACCATGCGCCCGTGGTTCTGCTCCGTGGCGTAGACGACCCAGAGGCCGTGCTCGTCGGCCGCCAGGTCGATGTCGGACTTGCCGCCCCAGCGGTAGGGCGAAGTGTCGTGGTAGTTGGCGTTGGGGATGAACGCCTCGCCGTCCTTGACGCGCGTGCGCAGGTCGAACTTGACGACGCTGCGCGTTCGCTCCTGCGACGGCGCACAGCGTGGGTGGCAGGGAGAGGTTAAGTGAGTGAGTGAGTGTGTGGTGAGGTGAGTGAGTGTGTGGTGTGTGTGTGGTGGAGAGGTGAGTGTGGGTGTAAGAGGTGAGTGAGTGAGTGTGGTGTGTGTGTGGTGGAGAGGTGAGTGTGGGTGTAAGAGGTGAGTGAGTGAGTGTGGTGTGTGTGTGTGGTGGAGAGGTGAGTGTGGGTGTAAGAGGTGAGTGAGTGTGGGTGTGTGTGGTGGAGAGGTGGGTGAGTGTGAGAGGTGAGTGTGTGTGTGTGTGGTGGAGAGGTGAGTGAGTGTAAGAGGTGAGTGAGTGAGTGTGTGGTGAGGTGAGTGAGTGTGGGTGTGGTGGAGAGGTGAGTGTGGGTGTGAGAGGTGAATGAGTGTGTGTGTGGTGGAGAGGTGGGTGAGTGTGGGTGTGAGAGGTTAAGTGAGTGTGTGTGTGTGGTGGAGAGGTGAGTGAGTGTGAGAGGTGAGTGAGTGTGTGTGTGGTGGAGAGGTGAGTGAGTGTGGGTGTGAGCGGTGAGTGAGTGTGGGTGTGAGAGGTGAGTGTGGGTGTGACAGGTGAGTGAGTGAGTGTGTGGGGAGAGGTGGGTGTGTGGAGAGAGGTGAGTGAGTGAGTGTGTGAGGGAGAGGGGGTGGGGAGAGGAAAGGTGAGCGTGAGAGGAGAGTGTGAGTGTGTGTGCGTGTATAAGTGGGTGAAGGTGTGAGCATGAAAGATCCGGGCGTGGTGGTGGTGGTGTTGGCCACGCCAGCCCCTCGTACGCTGAGCCTGCCCATTATAGGTGCTGCTCGCTAACAGCGCTTGCCCCAACAGTCTGTTGAAGGCTCTACAGGGGATCTTGGTCTTTGATGAGCACAAGTGAAGTGCGTGGGGGCGCTCCTCACAGTGTGTGAGGGAGAGCGGAGGTGAAGGTACAAAGGTGTTTGAGTGCGAGTGTCTGAGTGTGTGTGTGTATGTGTGTGTGTATGTGTGTATGATAGTGTAGCGGTTAGCGCACTGCGCTACGAACCCGGCGACCCGGGTTCGATTTCCTCTCACGGCCAACACCGGTGACGATTATCTGAACCGGTCCTGGGCCTCCCCTAAGTCGACTCAGCCTCAAATGAGTACCTGGTGCGGTGGATAAAAACATTGCCACTGGGGAGACAAAGGCGGTCGGGCGTGGTGCTGGCCACCCACCCCCTCGTGTACCGTTCCGGCCTTCATAGCTGCTCGCTAACAGCACTTGCCCCTACAGTCTGTTAAGGCTATATGGGGGATCTTTATCTTTGTGTGTGTGTATGGCTGCTTTGGGTACGCGGTCCAGACCTCCCCAGAGACCCTGGCTGACAGAGGAGGTGTTCAGGATGGTTGAGAAAAAGCGACAGGCCCACGCTCATCGGCTACAGCATCCCACGTTGGAGAATGAGGAGGCTTACCGCATCCTTCGCTCGGAGGTTCGGAGAGCCGTGAGGCACTGCAAGGATGGGTGGTGGTCGCGGGTTGCTGTGGAGATGGAGTCTGCCTCAATGGCCCGCGATCACAAATCTCTATTTAACTCCATCAAAAAAGTAACCTGCAGCGCCACACCTATTACCATCATTAGGGGAAAGAACGGTGATCCGATCTCTGACCCCCAGGAACAGGTTTGCAGATTTGCTTAGCATTTCTGTGAGGTCCTGGGGGAGGGGGAATCCCTCAGCCTGGAAAACATCATGGGACAAAGTGGGGATGACCCTGCTGAGGCTGCGGTGCCTCAAATATTGGAGGAAGAAGTCACCCCCTGTGAGTGGCTGGCTGATGTGCCATCCATTGAGGAAGTACTGAAGGCGATCCAGAGCCTGAAACCAGGAAAGGCACCGGGCAGAAATGATCTCCCAAGCGAAATGCTGAGGGATTGTGGCGTTTGTGCACAGACTGCCCTACATGACATCATAACAACAGTCTGGACCACTGGATGGGTTCTGCAGGATTGGAAGGATGCCCTGGTGGTCCCCCTCTTTAAGAAGGGGGACCGCACAGACTGTAACAACTACAGGGGAATCTCAAGGATTATTCAACATCGCCTTGCTAGGCACACTGAGGAGAGGCTGGCAGAGCTCCAATACGGTTTCAGGAAAGGGCGGTCCTGAACAGATGCCATATATTCTGCCCGTGTGCTACAGCAGAAGTGTAGGGAATTCCAACAAGACCTGCATCTCTGCTCCATTGACCTGGTCAAGGCCTATGATACCATCAATAGGCCTGGGCTCTGGGTTGTTCTTCGTATTTTCGGAATCCCTGAGCCTCTGCTCATGATCATTAAGGACCTTCATGATAGTGAGCGGGCCCAGGTAAAACTACGTGGCCGGGAGTCAGAGCCATTCCCTGTACACCTTGGGGTGCAACAGGGATGTCCTCTGGCTCCAACATTATTTAACATCTATTTCGACCACGTAGTTCGTGAAGCCTTCAGTAGCTGTACCCGAGGAATTTCCATCTGGTACAGGTAGAATGGGAGGCTGATTGATGCCCGGGTGCGGTCAAGGGATGGCTCCCTATTGGTCAACCAAGTTATGTATACCGACGACCTGGTAATAGCAGCTCACTCAGAGGAGAAATTGGAGGCGCTGCTGCTGAAACTTGAGTGTGCCATGAAGTGGTGGGGCCTTACCATCAGCCACACCAAAACTAAGCACCTGCCTGGGTATTTTGTACCATCGGACACTCCACCCCCACAACTCCCAATCGGTGATGGGGCAGTTGTGGAGAGAGTGGAGAGTTTCCCATACCTGGGCAGTGTGCTCATGACAGGCTCCGGTTTAACAGCAGAGGTCTCACTCCGAATCAGTCGAGCGGCATCATCTTTTCATCGTTGCATAAAGCTGTGTGGAAGCTACCTGGTCTGTCACTCCGCAAGAAGCTTCAGGTCTTCTCGGCCACAGTCATTCCCTCCCTACTCTATGCTTGCAAAACGTGGACACCCCTAATGGAACACCTTCGCCAGTTAGAAACATTTAGGCTGGCCTGCCTACAATCCATCCTGGGTTTAACCAGACTGGATTGTGTGAGGAGTTCACAAATCCTCGAAAGATCTGGACAAAGTCCCATCGGTGAGCTCCTCCGGCAGGCAAGGCTGCGTTGGCTGGGCCATGTAGCCCGCATGCCCAATCACCGCATGCCCAAATCGCTTTTGTTCGGCCGGATCGAGGTGGCTAAACGGGCGCGGCACGGGCTAGAGAAGAGATGGAGTGACGTGGTACAGGAGGATGTGGAGCTGAGTGGACTTGCCAATGACTGGTACCAGCGGTGTCAAGATCGGCCTCTGTGGAGGAGGCTCGTGAAGGACACTACTGGGCAGTTGTAGGCAGTCGCCCTCCAACAACAACAGAGGGTTGAGGAGCGACGCTCACAACAACGAGCGGAGCGCCGGGTGGCTAAAACACAGCAAGTTGGCACAGTAGGGGGCACAGGTGGTGCATCAGCCGGTCATCTCGGTCATCTCAGTCAGTCGACCCATGGCACCTGGGTGTGCCCCGTGACCTCCTGCCAGCGGGCATTCGACACTTCACGTGGCCTCAAGGTGCACATGGCCTGGCACAAGCGTCGTGGTGACGTCACCGCCACTTAGTGGCGAAAGGCGGTTGTTGTTGTTGTTGTATATACAGCTCACAACTGGAGGGCTCTCGCTCCCCAGTTAATTCATTCAGCAACTGCAATGTTTACTGGAGTTCTGAGCTCAGTTTACAAACTATAAAACTATTAACTATTTTTATTGTACAGGTCAGGACCACTGAGCCGGGATAGCTCTTTTTCA